GACTTTATTGACGTGAGACCTCAGACCGAGCCAGACCTGTTATCCTGTTGCCTTGTTTACCCAGAGGCTGAGGTAAAAGGACCACAGGTCGAAGACCAGACTAGAAAACATGGAGAGCCTGCCACATGGAGGGTGTGGCTTAGCGGGTGTGTGTGCTCAGGAAGAACAAGGATCTTGGTTCTATCCCCAGAGCCACAAAACAAAATAAGCTATACCTACTCCTGTGTGTTTGATTGATTGTTTGGGTTTTGTTTTGTTTTGTTTTCTTTGAGGGGAGGTTGAGACAGGGTCTCACCATATAGCCCTAGAACTTGCTATATAAACCAGCCAGCCTCAAACTCATAGTGATCCACGTGCTTCTGCATCCTGATTGCTGGGTTAAAGGCGTGAATCAACCCACTCAGCAATTCGGGTCCTCTGCAAGAACAAGTGCTCTTAACCACTGAGCAATCTCTTCAGCCCCAGCCACAAAAGTGGGGGTTTCACTTTTTAGGCTGACCTCACACTCTCAACAATATTTTTTGCCTGTTTCCCAAGTACCAGGAGTGCAGTGGCAGCCCCAGGTTCTAAAGTAATGGCCAGCCACCAACATCCACACTCCTTCACAGACCCAGAGTGGTAATCCTCAGGTCAGCTTTCACCTCAAACAAAGCCAAATGAGGGAAGAAGGAAGACAGATGTAGTCTGGGAAGGAACTGGGGCAAGTGTCTTTGGGAAGGTGCCAGTATGTTGTCAGAGGGCACAGCCCTGTGGGCAGACATGGCGCATCCTGTGGTCAGGGAGAGGCTGTGTAGCCAGCCACCTCCAAACCGCAGGAGCGTAAGAAGCGAGTGACGTCACAGGGCACAGTGGGCGCAGGGCACTCATTTCTTCGGGTTGCTTCTCAGGTTCTGGCAGCTGTTGAATGCTGAGCTGTAGAGGGGCAGAAGCTGGCTCTGGCGCGCTCTCAGCCCAGGGTGTACCAAAGGGCCGCAGAGAGCTGGAGCACAGGGAAGGGAGACATTGGCTCAACTAGCTGCCAGAGCTGATGAGCGGGAAGGAGGTGACAACTGCTCTTGCGGCATAGCGTTACGTCCCCCTCCCCTTGGCATAGCGCCACACCCCCCCAGGGAAAGCGCTGTGTCCGTGCCCGTCCCTCCACTCACCCCACCCCACCCCCCACCCCTGCATAGTGCTGCATCTCCCCACCCCGTGGCATAGCGCTGCACCCCCACATTTGATATTGGGGTATGTGGAGTTGCCTTAAGAAACAGCAGGGTGGTTACTCAGAGACTAAACACTAAACACAGGGTAGTTTAGTGGTCCAGCCAGTCGACATAAAAACTTATTCTTGTGAGTCATGGCAGCACACACCTGGAATTCTAGCACTCAGGAGGTAGACCTAGGAGAATCAGGAGTTCAAGGCTAGCCTGTGCTGCTGGAGGCCTTGGTTTCTGTTTGCTTCCCTTTTTGCCTTCTTCCTTTTTTCAGACAAGTGACACTATGTGGCCCTGGCTGGCCTCAAATGAGGTGGGGGATCTGCTGACTCCACTAACTTAATCAGTCCAGGACTTATGCATATTCAAAACCTTATACACATTCAAATTCTCAAAAATGATTCACAGAGATCTGCCTGCTTTTACCTCCTGAGCCTGGGATCAAGTGCACCACACAAGATCCTGTTTGGTTTTGTTTATTTAAAGAAAAAAAGAAAAGAAAAGAAAAAAGAAAGAAAGAAAAGAAAAAAAAATCCCAAACTTTGTCCGGCAGCACAGTCTTTTTTTTTTTTTTTTTTTTTTTGGCAAAAATATTGGACATCCCTGGGTCCCATCAGCAGGTAAATGGACAGACAAGATGTGGCCTAGTCACACAATGGACCTTATTCCACGGGAGAGAACAAAGCGTTGACACCTGCTTGCTGGTGAGCAGGCCTTGTGTGGGCAGAGACCCAGCACATAGAATCCTACATTCTCTCTGAGCCTTCCCTTCTCCATCTTGGTTTTGGCATTTTTATCCATCTCTAGTGTCCTGTTCCATTCCTATGACTTAGCAGAGAGTCAATCACACCGTGAGTGTTCAGTAAATGTTTGTTAATGTGAAGAACTTGTCGTCTCTTGCTGTGGGTCAGTTTATTGCCTAAGCATGGCCATGGCCTTCCTGTGCCTCAGTGCTTGGTGGTATCTCTGACTGTCCATTCCGAGGAAGAGGAGGAGCAGAGGGTCTGGGAGCACAAGGCATGGGCTGTACTGGGCCAAGGTCCTTTGCAGAGGGCCTTTTAGGAGGGAGAGGGTGACATTTGGACTGCTGTGTCCAGGAACAGGATAAAGCTGGGGCAAAGTAAGAAGGATGATCCAACTCCTAACCCCAGGAAGGAAAAGAGCTAGGGGCGTTTAGGAAACACTCGCTCCTCCTAAACTTCACAGTATTGTGGGCACCTACCAGAGAAGATTGTCGGACATGGGTTTCAACCAATAGAAGCTCTTTATTAACTTACCAGTGACTCTGAGTGTTTGGGATCCCAGCATAGCACCGAGTCTTTCTCAGGATGAGCACAAAAACCATATCCCGGGTCGACATACTTCAGCAAACAAGAACAGTTAGCCAGAAGCAGAACTATGGCCTCTGATGTTTAGGTCTCTGTGTTTTAGTTTGGCAGGTATGCTGTCTATGCACTGAGTTTTACAGGCATCGTGGAGTCAGTCGTGCTGAGGATCGGGCCCTGTTACAACAGTCATTTCTCACACTCCTACATCTAACCCGTAACTGGCTGTGCCAGTTTATCCGCCTGTCGTCACCTCCGTCTTCTTCGTCAGCTCGGACTTTCGCGGTAGCCTCCACACCCGCTCGTGATTTGCCCCCAGCCCCAGGGTCTCCTCACGACAGCAGTGTCTGTGAATCTGTCTGCACATCACAGTTCCTCTCCGCTCCCAGTCCACCCATGGCTCACATCTCACAAAACCCTCTTCATCTTTCCATGCCCCACGCCTGGTCTTCTCCATGGCCGAGGAGCAGTTCAGTCAGTTCCCGCTGGGACTACACGGGCCTCTGCTGGCACCTGAGAAGGTCACCCACCCTGTGTTCTCCTGCCTTCTGCCCCTCTCCTCACTGGGGTCAGCTCACCTCTTCAGGTGGAGCTCTGGAGAACATGTCGTCTGTACTGTATCCAGTTCCTGGGTCTCCAAAATGGTTCAGCCACTCTGGGGCCGCACAGTCGCCTTATGAAATCTGAGGAACACTGAGTGCTGGGAGAGAAGAGGTGACCCCAGAATGCAT